CCCAAAATAGGAATCAGGTGAAAGTTGGTTCCCCAAAATAAAAATCAAGTGAAAGTTGGTTCCCTAAAATGAAGATTTTGAAAGTTGATTCTCCAAAATAAAAATCAGGTAAAAATTGGTTCCATTTTGATGCAATTTTCCCTTATATAAATCCTACAAAACGAAACGCTTATTAAAAGTCTCGTAAATAGTCAAGTCAACGAAGGTGAAGGCAGGGAGGGTGCTATCAAATAAGTAATGGTCCAGTCCACTACTCCACTAGTAAACGACTCATGTGTCGTTTCATAATAATTAAAGATTTTAATATAATTAATACTAAATTTTATATATTTAAGTAATACTAGATGACTACTCATGCAATATAATGAGATACATCTTGATTTTAATATTTTATTTTATTTTTTATCTCAATCGATGTTATAATATGGTCTTATGTGATTTTGAAAAGACGATAGATGGTTTTATTTTTTAATAAAATATAAATTTGAAGATATCATAAAAATTTGTCAAAATTATATCGATATTAATATCAAAATAACTATTTAAAATTCCTCATTTTTTGTGTAATTTTTTAATTCAAAATTTCTAACTGTAATTTAATTTAAGTTCAATAACGAAGTAATTTATATTTGGTTTAGTAATATAATTTTCTTATAAAGATAATAGTTAATTATTTTGTTAGAACTCGAAATTATCCTAATTATATTTTAGATTTTTTATATATTAAAATGAGATGTTTATCCTCTATTTGATTATGTTTATCCGCAGTTAGTTATACGAATTTAAACATGAAACTTTAATAAGTTATACTTATACATAATTTATTTGTAATTTTGAATTTTAAATAATATGCATCAATATATAATACTTTATGCATAAAAATGATATTTTAAGAGTTTTTGTGAAATGCTTTATAATATAGTTTGAGTAATATAATAATTACTTTGTAGATTCACCAAACTTGCTTCTCTTTGATTTTACTTTTATTTGAATTTTTCCTGCTTAAACTCAATTTTGCCAAAAAGAAATAATAATTCAATTTTGCCAAAAAGAAATAATAATTCAATTTCATACGTAAATATATATTTAATTTAGATTTATGGGTTGTTTGACGAAATGCTTATCACATAAGTGTTTACTAACAAGAGACATATTCTCACTTATCTTATCATGTAAAATTCTCGATCATTAAAATTGGTTGTTGGTAAGGTCTTAAGACCGGTAAACCTTTAACGGGTAACAATTTTTTCTCTCACTTACCTGACAAGACTTTCGGTCATTGTTATGTTTTTTATCGGGTAAGATTCTCGATCCCTTTCATACTCAATCGGTAAGGTAAGTAATATCTGGTAAGTGCTTATTATAGAGCGTCTTAATTACTATATCTTTGATTTTTGGTTATAAACAACCCATCATTTTTTATTGGGAGCAAGAAAATACTTTATTACGACAGTTTGTCAAACTAAACTTTTTTAGTGTTTCGGTAAAAGAAATTGTGACAACTCGTGATATGTAAGTAAATAGATGATGAGACATATGAGAATTTTATAAACCGTAAATTGTAGTTTGTCAATAACGTTTAATGTGGTTTTAAGTTGATTTAAAGTTATTTGACTAATATATCGATGTAGGCTTATGGTGTAACAAATAGTTTCAAAGTCAATCCTTGTATCATCAGGATTAGAGATGGTCAAAAATCGATCCTGGACTGGGCCAGCCCCAAATTGGTTCTTGTCCCAATTTGCATTTATGTAAGACTGTAACTGGTCTTGGTCACGACCAAAATACCAAGCCCCGGTCTCCATGCTTTATAGTCGGGCCCAAATTGGTCCCAATTCTTTTTCTCTCAAAAATAAATTTTGAACGTAAAAAATATTGTTTGAAAAATTTGGCAATATTTTATTTAAATACACTTTAAAATCCCTAATTCGGTCATCCAAAAACACTTTAAATGTATATATTTTTAAAAAAAATTACACAAAAATGTTAAAGATGTTTGTAAAATTATGATTTGACACATTTAGTACTAGAGCACTTATAAGAACTTGAAAAACATAAATTAACTTAAAGTTTTTGATAAAAAAAAAACATTAAAAATCTTGTAGAAATATTGAAAAATTTGATACATAATCTATAAAAAAAAAAAACTTAATTTTTATTCTAGAAAAATTGGGCCTATGTATTATCGGTCCCGGTCCCGGAGCCAGGCCGGGCCATAAAATTTTCTAAAAATCGTAACCGATTAAGGACCATCGGGCTGGGCTGGTCACAATTCGGTCCCGATCTCGGTTTCGGTCCTCCAGTCCCAGGCTAGGTTTGGCCATCTCTAATCGGAATGGTAGGACAAACCTAATCGATAAAGATGAGTCTAGGAGGAGGTGTTTATAACATTTTATTTGAATCCTACAAAGTCGTGCACATAGAAGATGTGGGGTAAACTAGTCAAAATCATCAAGAAATTAAGTGAGAAAGTTTGTGAGAAATCTTCCTATAGTGATTAAAAAAGTGCGATTTGTGAGCTTGTAAGATGATTTAAGTGAATGGAGCTTTGATAATTCATTTCACATGAACAAAAATGAGAATTATGAATAATTTATAAGTTTTAAGTTGTGAGTTATCAATAACTTCTCTTATAGTTTTAAGTTGGATTATAAGTTAATGAGTTACTTTATTGTTTAGGAATTTGAAGCATTACAAACAGTATCAGAACTAATTCATATACTAATAATATAAAACTTTAAAACAAAAATAAAAATAAAAATCAAACAAAATTTAATGTGGAGGAACTGGCATAAATACGTGTTTGCTTGCTTCATTACAGGGTTCTAAAAAGGTCATCACGACAGCCGTCATGAGTCATCATATCTTACTGCGTGTGTCTGATGTCATGTTAAGCTTGTGGCACGCCATGGTCTAATGTGTGATTTTTGTAACACGATATTTGATTTTTTTTTTATCATTTTAGCGTCTTATTTTTTTGCTTTTAATATACAACCTAGTTTAAAATATTTAATATAACTAACTCACTGAATAATAGTAAAAAACAAAGGTATATAATTATATAATGATATACAAATTTGCGCTATAAGACACATTTTGAAAAACGTTATGGTCTTATCGTGACTTTTAAGGCTTAAGTGTTCTCACTTGCCCAAGTTTTTGGATCCATCACTCCTCGAGTGACATGACAATTTCGTAACTTTTTTGTAATTAAAATGATATTATAAGGATTAAAAGCTTAAGGGGCCGTTTATTAACCGTTACCCGGTATAAGGCGAGGCAAAACAAGGATCAAAAGTCAATACATATGCATTGGTAACTCTTACGCGTAAAAAGTTATCAGGTGACGAACACTTGCCAACAATACATTTTAGCTATCAAAAATGTTACCCTAAGTTAAGTGAGGATGCAGACTCTTACCGATAAGTGTTTACTTGATAAGCATGTGATAAACGACCTCTTAGTCGGTATTGCTTAAGATATAACTCCAAAAAAGAGTTGTAGAATAACCGAGTTATACGACTTTAATCTCACATTCACGTCAACCAGACAATCTATTGCAGTTGTTACATAAGTTGATAGCACGTAAACCGACCACATTTGAAGCAACCGTATGTCCACGGTTTTCTTATGAAAAAATGATATACCCTCGAAAAGGTCCAAAAGAGTTTCACAAAACAATAAAATTTGCTTAAAGAATCACACTTTTTTCCATCTCATTTGCTCCCATGAGCAGAACAAACCTACTGCAATGAATTTTGCAGCTACAATAATCTTTCTAACAAGATCAAGAATACCCTTCTTGATCTACCACAAACTATGCAATTTCATATTAAAAAATGGTGTAGCCTTTGAGATTTATGCCCTTAATTAGGGAAATAAATATGTAGGACCTGGAGCTTCAGTGACTTTTGCAGTCGATAGAAGCCTCACTCGCACTAACAATAACGAAATCCTGAAAAATTCTTCGCTTCTTTTGCTTCCGGTAGCAAAAGGAACATGGTTAAATACAGCAATCAACAAAGAAACCTGCAAAACAAAGCAAAAAAAACTTTGAATGAATAGATTCTAAAAGAAACAAGTTAGTATCGGCATCATAGAATAATTGGCTATATGAATGACTAAGGTAAAAAAGACAAATTTATTGGCCGCTCTGCCATTATAATTTGCAATTTACCAACAGTAAACGGTTTGGAAATGACTTATCATTGTCATCGGCTGAAATGGTGTCAACTGTCAAGCAAGCAAGATAAAAGGTGGAACAAGAGTGTTGCACTGCATAAATATAAATAGGGACTACCGCTAATTGGGCCAAGTATTTTTAGTGACTATATCAAAAGTTTTACATCCATTTCTAGAACACAAAAAAATGAGGAAAAAAGAAAAGAAAAATGTTCAAGTACCTATGTGTAACCGAGTTTATAGGAAAATTCATTGTCATCTCCTTACCTTCATCATAGGTTCGTGATACTAGTGGTGGTGAAACGGTGATGTGGGTTTTTCTAAGAAAGCTGAACAATCATTTTCTTAGGACACCCCCTCCCCCCGGAAACCAACCCCAAGCAGGATGGATGCACATTAATGCTTGGTGGACCTCTAGGTGAGAGTCTTGGAATGGATTAAAATGGTAAAACAAAACAAAATTGATTGAGAAGACTATTTCATATGATTTGAAACTTGGGTTTCTAAGGAAAAAACTACACCAACAATAAGACAGAGGCCAGGTAAGTTTCATGTGTCTATGCATTTAGCAATATCTGCCATTACAAGGAAGAATATTACTGGAATTCATGCATGACAAATGCATGCAACATGCCAAAGGATCATCTTGCATACCAACTAGGAAATTTAAGCATTTAAACAATAAAAAACTAGATAATAGAATATCTAACATTACATCATTATTGAAGAATTATATTTTGTTCTTATGAAGTTATGTTCTGATAATACATGTGAAGAAAGTAGACAGCGAAATATGATGTGGTACGCCACATTGTACGAATTTGTCCTACATGGCATGTATAAAATTCCTCAGATAACTAACCTGAGGGTTTAATTGATCATCAGAAGTTGGAAAAGTTGACTACTAGTATAAACTTTTAACACAATGTCAAATTTGCATATGACCAATAGGTAGTGTTCTTACAGACAGAAACTTAAGGACCGTAATAGAAAACATGTTTCTAAATAAATCTTGTAAATGAAAAAAATAAATATCAAGAAGAAAAATGGAAGCTACTCTTAACCCTTTATGATGAATGCTTTTGAGATAAACGTCTGTCTGAAATACATGTGGGTAGCAAAGATTCCTAGGCCTATTTGCCATAGAGAAAAAATCAATCTCCAGAAACACCAATTACCTTCATAGATATTTAGACATATAAAAATTATTTTTGTTTGAGTTAACAAAAGGAACAGCTGTCGTGCAGAAAAAGGCCCCAACCACACAGTAGACTGAAATGTAAGAGCAACATCTCTTTGAAATTTTGAAAAATTGACCTAAGAGGGAAGAGCAGAATCAAAAGAATCTCTGTTTAACTATTGAATGAGGAAACCTTCAGTGGTCCAGTATTTAAATAGAGCAGAATCCCTTTTAAGAAAAAGATAACTGAGGGTGAATTACATTATTTACTATATTCATTGTTGAAGAGCCTAAATTCATATGATGTGGGCATGATGGTTTACATAAAACTAGAAATTTCCAGCTGAATGATGTTTACCTGTTTATTAAAAGCACACAACATAAAGTAGAATCAGCTATCTTAATGGGTAAATAAAAATGAGGCAGCGGATATTTTTGGACCAAAGTGCAAAGTCCAGGTTGTTGATCTTGAGACATTTTCTAGAACTAGTGCATTCCATTTGTGTCTGTATGTGGAAGGCTTCCAATGTGTAGCAAAAACCACCCAGCAAGTCTTGCAATGAACACTTGCTCCAGAGTGATTTGCTATAAATGTGTATTTGGGACTTTAACCTTGATTCCAGTTGAAGTGTGATGTGCAGGACTTGCTATCCCATAGCAATAATTTACAACATTAACACTGCCTCCAAATATATTGCGGAAAAGTATTATCATATATCATCTTTAGCATATGCTAATCACATAATAATCATCTGATGTAAAAGTTTGCTTATGGTAATTTTAACAATTAACCTAAGATGCGATTAGTTGCAGAAACAACAGAGGTTCACTCTTGATTATATAGAAAACAAAAATTTGAGATAATGGATTACCTATCTTACTTGACAACCACATCTCGAGCAATCAATGAGTAAATCACACTGTCTTCTCCGTCATCATTCTTAGGAACCACCAAAGATAAGCATCGAAATTTCAGAAATGCTCCATGAGAGAATGTAGTTTTGAGACCTTACGCCGAAACAGTGGTTCTAGCCGGAATGATGGAAGCCCAGTCTGCCACCGTTTTGTATCAAACATTTCATTCCATGCCTGGACTATTTCATCAATTTTGAAACTAAGACCTGCAGTAATACAATTTACAAACAAAAATACATTTCTCATACTTACGAATACAAACTGTCTTGTAAAGTTATAATTGCAGATGATGTTTTATTTATTATATAGTTTCTATCAGTAGGTATGTCAATTTACCTTCCAAAGCTGTTCCATTGGAGCAGTGATTCTTTATAATTACAGTTATATCTGTTGGAGATGCTCCCGCAAGTTCAAACTTTTCAATTGAAACTTCCAAACATTCTTCCCATGATGGCAAACTTAACTTAAATTCCACAACAGATCGCTCATATAGCATTGTACCCCATAAGATATATATCTGAGATCTGATATTTGCAGCTTGCTCTGCAGCCTCATCAGCAGATACATCTTTAATAATCCCTTCAAACCCAATATTGAGCAATTCATCTTTATGTTTATCAGATAAGCTCAATCCATTTAATCGTCTTTCTTCCAACTCTTCCCACATCTGCATTCCCTTTTCCATATTGTCCTCTGCCTTGTTATATAGCTCCAAGACTTGTGAAGTAGGTCCGTCCTCCATATCAGCTTTGCTCCCAAGAGCATAGTACCATGAGAGCTTGGCCTGTTCAAACTGCTGCTGCCCAAGTGCAAGGTGGCCTTCATAAAAGTCTGGCTTAACCTTTAGTGCCTCTTCGTATCTTTTCTCTGCTTTCCCGTATTCTTTTTGGGCCCATTCGTATCCAACTTTCACCTGTTGTGCTACAGATTCTTTGGTTCCATCTTCTGCAACGACCACCCATTTCCTTGCCTTGTTCATATGCACATTCCCCCAGTTAAATAAAGCTAAAGCAGACATCTCTTGAAACTGTGAGCCAGCAATATCAAAAAGCTTTTGGGAGCTCTCAGTCGTAACAGTATCTTCCATTGCTTCTGAATACAGTTCCATTCCCAGCTCATGAAGATCCAAGTATGGATTAGTATCAAATCCCACATGGTTCTTGAAGAGCCTTGCAAACTGGACAATCCATTCCTCTACACAAGTCGTGCCCTTCTCCACTTCCCTATTTTTTTCCACATTCTCAGAAACACTTGATATGATGCTATGGGCCTTGGAAGTTCCTTCACTTTTCAAGCCCTCGTAAAATGGCTCTTTATCTGGACTAACTTCTGCTAGGTACAGTCGAAAAGAACCTTGAGGATCACTCGAAGCCTCGGCCAATCTCAGCTCAGCGGTAGTTATAATGGTGACTAAATCTCCTTCTCGGTCTTTAAACTTGATGAGCACACCATCTAGGCCAGGAAATCGGTCACGGACTATCTCCCTCACCAATCCAATGCTACAATCAACAGGTAGCTGTGCCCATCTTATATCATCTCCAAGCACCAATTTCACTGTCCTCATGACCACTTTTTCTTCTTTAATGCTTGTCCTATCCTCCACGACCACCTTCTTGTCGGCTTTTTTCTCCACCTGATCAGCTCTCTTGTCTTTAACTCTATTTACCTTGCTCACCTTTACTTTCTCTTCAGACTTGCTTTCCTTAACTTCTTCACCCTTCTTGTTCTCAAAACTGTTGCTCTTCTTCTTTTTGACCTTTTCTTTCAACACTTTGACTGCCTCTAATGAATTAGGCTCGATATTTTCAGGCGGCAAACCAACATCAATATCTTCAACTTTCAGACCCTTCCCCTCAATTGCCTTCTTCACGGAATCCTCAATCTCCAATGCTGTCACATTATTCGGCTCCATACTCAACACATTCTTAACATCTCTCAAAGCCCAATCAAACTTATTCAGAGCCTGGTAACACCTGGCTCTCCTCAGCAGTGCCTTGCCATACTTGGGAGCAACTTCAAGAGCCAAATTACATTCCTCTATAGCTCTGGGGTACTCCCCAAGTCCCAACTGCATATAACAATCAGCCATTTTGCTATGTAAATATGCGACATCTATATGATTCCGAGGTAACAATTTAAGTGCCTTCTCATACTTCAACATCGCCCCTTCGTTATCATGCTTCTGAAACAGTTTATTTCCTTCTTCCTTCATCTCCTGAGACATACGAATGAAGACAGCAGTGTCTTCATCAATTTGTTTGGAAGTTCGATCAGATGATGCTGATTTGTTCTGTTTCACTACCTTTTCTACCCGAGGCAGTAACTTCTTTTTACCAGTAGGTTTCCCCATTTCAACTCCAAATAATATTATCCCCAATATCCCCTTCGAACACAGACCTCTTATGCTTGATTAATTCGTATGATTGTATATAGAACAACCCTGCCTCACACAATCTATCCAACTAATAATCAAACTCAATCCAAAATATAAAATTCAAATAACAGCAATAATAAACAAAGATTAGAGGAGGAAGAAAACAATAATCAACCTGAAACTGTTTCCCGCCCAGTGGAAAGAGTAGCGCGAAACCCTAATCGATATAGAAGAGGCGGGGTTTGGGGAAGAATGTTTGGATTGAGGAGAGGAAAAGAGGAAATTTGGCGGAAATTTGTATTATAATGATTGTGGAAGACTCCCTGTGACGAAGGAGAAGAGATTTAAAAAAAGAGAAAGCAGCCATTAATGGAAGAAAGAAAGAAAATGCCAGCGATAATGACATGCTTGAGAGAAACGTCAATCCGCACCGCAAATTCGAGCTGTGAAGGACCCACTCTCACTTGCCGCCAGTAAAAATATGCATTATATGATATCACATATTTTTTTTTAAATGAAACATATTCTATTCTTTTTCTTTTATTACCTTATTACATAAATATGAAAAGGTCGATAATTATATTTTGTAAGAGTGATTATAAAAATAGAAAGTCTTATCCAGTAAGTGAATATGAAGACTCTTATTCGATAAGCATTTACAAAGTAAATTATTATATGCAATATTGTTTTAATGGATTATAATGTTAACGAATAAAGTATGTTAGAGTAATAAATCTTTCTAATAAATACCGGGTAAATGGTTAGGTAAATGGCCTTTACAATTTTTCCATTTTAATAAATTACAATATTAATTATATTATTAAAATATTTAATACAATTAATAAAATAGTATTTTAATCTTTTAAACATTTAACTTCAGAATTTCTTATTTATAAGAAGAATAAAAGTTTACTTTTTAGAATTCTCTAAATTTGAAGATTTTTATTTTCTCTCCGCTATTTTCTTCACTTAAGAGAAAATTAGGAAAATCTGTTGAAACAAAAATATCTAAATTTCAAATAATTTGTTGAAGAATTTGCACTACATCTTAATATCGGATACATAAATTTGTATGATTTTTCTATTTCATATAAGTATTATACGATTGCAAGAACCTATAAATTTGAATTTTTTTTAAAAATATCAAATAGCAAAGTTCGGTTTTTGTTTTTAATGTTTCTTTATTTCGACAAATCTTGTTTTTAAATTTCATTAATTTAGCTTTTGTCTTTTCACGTCTCTTAATCTTCAACTGTTTTTGTCCCTCTGCCTAATATTTATTAACTTTTTATGTTAAGTTAGTTTTCTTTAAAATTAAAAAACATATTATAATTTATATATATTGTAATATTAAAAATGTAAACTAAAGGAATAAAATCATGGGACGTGTTCTTCATTGTTAGCCTTAATTATCATTCTTCGTCATAAAAATCGGTTATCTTCAATACTTTGTATTACCATCAACGATTGTCTTCTTTCTTCTTTGCGACCACTCTCACCCCCACCAAGTTGCTCTCTTCATCCATTACCCCATTGTACTTGTGGTTCAAAGTACCATCCATAGCCCTCAATCATCCTCCACCGCCCTTCATCAATCCAAACACAAAATATGCAAAAATAAAACCTTATATCCAACTACAAATTAAATATATTTCAAGAATGTCAACAACAAAACCGAAAATCAAATTATAAGCCTAAATCAGATAAAAAACGAAACTTACACCTTCTGTTTCAATGAAGAAGGGTCTAAGTCAAACAAAACCCAAATCAATTGCCATTGTAGTAGAAGAAAAGCTTCGGTGAAATCCAATTGTTGTTGCTTTACCATTGGAGATCAAAGGTGTTGAATTTGTGTTTGTGCTTATGTTTGTGAGCGAAGAGATCGTCGATGAATGCATGCCACAACCTATATTTGTACTTGTGTACAACTATATACATATAATTTTTTTTTAATTTCAATAATTTTTTTTTATTAACTTGGATATCCAACCCGTTATGCGAGCCGACTAATCTCAGGACGACCATCTGCTTTGCAGATAGCCCGGAGTCACCGCATTTGAATCTCTGTGGCCATAAGAGGATTTTTTTTATTTCTTCTTGGATTTGAACCTGAAACCTTCTGTTACTTTTGACATTTGGAGTCAAATTCAAACCAATCAGAAACCACCCTTGTGATTATTTTAATAGAAATTTAACAAAGATATGTAAAATAACAAATATTTAAAAGTAAAAGATATTGTTTTAAAAAGTCTACAATAAAAATAGGTTTTTTTGGCAACGGAATGGTAGAAATGTAGGTGTTATGAGGTACGTGGCATGTACCGTAACAAATGGCAACAAATGATTTACGGGTGGGTGCCGACATTCGACAAGGGTCCAACGTTGACATTGGGTAGCCGTCATTTCGTGCTTTAATTCAAATGCAGCAAGAGCTCGACGACGCCGTCCTTTCTTGTCTTCCATTCCATCGTGTCTTCTTTTGCGGTTCAAGCTTTTCATCCCTTTGGTTTGTGTGTGAAAAATATTGTGAAAAATATGGTTTATAATTTATTGTAGTTTTCGTTTTTATAGTTTATAATTTATTATTATTTTTATTCTACAGACTAATGGGTTGTTTATCTTAAACACTTAGTCCGTAAGCACTTACTGATAGAATTCAATACTATTACTTACTTACCGGGTAAGATTTTAGTCAACTGAAACGCCGTCGTATGTAACAATTTACTTGGTAAGCCCTAACCGTGGTAAAAGTCGTCGTCGTCGTCATCATTTATCGGGACTCTCGGTGCTTGTCTTCTTTCTTACCGGGTAAGATTTTTAATCTTTGTCATATTAATCCGGTAAGGTAATGGTGATTTAACAAGCGTTTACTCATGTAAGAATTTGACAAAATGACCTCTAAATCTATTAAAAACTCACCATTTAATTTTCTTTATTTTTTTTCTTTTGGTTTATTAAATATCTTTTTTGGTTTCTTTTTTTGTATTTTAGCCTTTTTGATTTAATCAAACTATATATTTTTTGATAAAAAATTATATTATTTTGTTATTATTTATGATAAAATAATTAATTCATTTTTCGTACAATTTGTTATTTCATATTTTTTTTTGTCATTATAGTTTTAGTTTCTTATTAGTTTGAATTATGTCAATAACTTCGCTCAATTGCAAGTCGTTGAGTACCCCTCATATGATAGTATTTTAATTATTTTTTCTTCATTAGGGATTAAACGATTAAATTTTTACAAGACCAGACAATTAACTATCTTTGACTATTTTTGCCAAACAAATGTATGCGTTATTAAAGTATAATTTTATAAACTTATTATAGCACATTTATATAAGACATATACTTATTTAGTATAACTGAATGACTTACAAAACCAAACAACTGCATGCTCTATTAGTAAAATTACATACATTTGTTTGCAAAAAGAGCGTTGACCAACATGTGCAAAACCCAAGAATTCGAAGAGTCGGTTAAAATGAGCCAACAACATGGATTTAAAGTATCAATCAAGAGGACATAAACTCATAAGTAGTCACAAAAGGCATCCTAACCTTTTTTATATACTCACTATCCAGTATCAATATTTCATTTATCCATCAATATGGAATAGATAAAAACTCAAACTATAATCCAACAACGAAAACAATCAATTTTTAGAGGGTCATATAATTGATTGTAGTTTTTACTTTTATAACAAAATTATTTAATTAATTAATTTTTAATATGAATTAAATGGTTGACCAAAGTAAGCCAACTAAGCGAGTTTAGAGAATCACTTAAAAGAAGTTAACCCATGAGTTGTTACAAAGGTATCCTGGTTTGGTTTCGTTACTTTCATATATCAACTATCAGTTATCAATCATTGATATTTTTATCAATTAAGGATTGATAAACTCAAACACAATTCAAGAAATAAAGAATGCCCGGTTCTTAGAATATCACATCATTGGTTGTGGTTATTACTTTTATCGATATAAAAATAGAAATAAAGACTGTAGCATCTTTTCACTTCAAATTTTATCAATTGTAGTTGTGAGAATCTCATCTCGAAATCTTTGGTCAAACAGAAGGTAAGGCCCTACTTACTACTTACTAGGGTAAACTCCGGAAGAGACTTCAATAACGAAATAAAGGAGATAGGTGAGGCCTTCCCGCTAATAGTCAAGAAACCGTAAGACAAACCAACTGAGGAAATTCTGGAAGTAATAAAGGAGTTTAGAATGGTAAGCTTATGACCACCACTTTCGAACATACAGCCCTCCTTACAGCTAAGAAAGACTGAAAGTTGGCAGATGTGTGTCGACGGTTGAGCGATCAACAAAATCACCATCCCATATTGGTTCCCAATGCCAATGCCTTGTTTAGATGATTTGTATATGGGATCCCAATGCCTTGTTTAGATGATTTGCTCGACCAACCTTATGGATCAAAGGTGGTCTAAAAAATTGACTTATGTAGCGGTTACCATCAAATTAAAATCCGCATTCGACCAATGGAAAATGGTCTGTAAAACCAAAGACGGCTTTATGAGTGGTTAGTAATGCCCTTGGGCCTATCCGACACACTGAGCACTTTTATGAGATGGATGACACAAGTCCTCCGACCCTTCATGGGAAAATTCATATATCACAATGAGTAGTTGAACGATTAACAAGAAGGTGGTAGGATTCGACGCCTTAAAAGACTTGTACGATGATGATTTCAAACGTGTAGTTAGGAAGACTTGCCTACCAAACAACATCGAGGACCAGAAGACTTCCTGGTCCTTGACGGTTACCTACTCAAATGAAATCGACTTTGTATCCCTCGAACCTCTTGATCAAAGAACTACATGCCGGTGGAACAATTATATCTATCAAACAACATGGAGGACCAGAAGACTTCCTGGTCCTTGACGGTTACCTACTCAAAGGAAATCGACTTTGTATCCCTCGAACCTCTTGATCAAAGAAGTACATGCCGGTGGAACAATTATATCTATAACTTCATTGCAAACTACTATTGATTTAATGAATAGTTTCAGACCCGTCTCTCACCTCTATTTTCTGGAGAGAAAAAAAAAACTATTCTTAGAGAGGGAATGAAAAGGATTGAAAATTGTTAAGTGTTAAAAATGCTTGAGCACACGAGATTTTTCCATCCTACTTTTCTTTCTTTTTCCTTTTTAAAAAAAAAGGGACTCGAGAACAGTAGCAGGTGCAATATTTTTGTCGAGTCGGTGCACCTTTAAAATGAATCAAAAGGCTGTAAAGTCGTCCCTTGTGTTTTTAGCCAAATTCCACCATTTCGGGAAAACTTTTTAAATTTCTTTT